TTGACCCCACTTCGCATGCCAAAAGAGGGGAAGTTGTGTATCCCACGTGCTGCGATGTTATTTGAACTGCATTGTCCCCCACTTTGTTCTGCGTGTTTAGAGCGATTCTGTGGCGCATTGTCCCGTGAAGAATGGGTTGGTTTGACTTGGCTCCGACACGAGCCCGCGTTGCCAGCGCACTGCGGTGTTCTGACAGACATCAGTCCAGTTCGGCTTTCAGAACGGAATCAACAAAGACGCGACTGTCGCCCCCCCCCCGGTGCGTGCCGCCCCACCTCCACACCAACTCGCACTGTTGTGTTCGCTCGACGCAGCCAAGATCGGTTTCCTGCCCCTCGATTTATACGAGACCTGTCTAATTATCGTGACCATTAGAAAGCGTGGTTCGCTGGGCGCTGCGCGTGGACTGTCTCCATCCGCGCAGTGGGTGGGTCGACTTACCGGCTATCGGGTGACCCCGGTGACCCGGCCAATGCCAGAGGTCACGGGGTAACGACCTATCGATGTTCGACTCCGATACTGGGCGGTGATCCAGCGATGTGGGCCGCGCCTGGCTGGTTCTCCCGAACGGAGGTGCCCTATGTCGTGTGATTGAATGATAGACGCCGCTAACTGCTACGTCGTTCCAAACAATGCGCCGTTTAGTGGTGCTGGCAAAATCGGACGATCTTTACGATGGGTTGATGTGGAAATAGAAACCGGTGCACCGTTGTCTCGCTGCCGATGGCATATTGTCTGAATACGTAATTGACTTGCATACGGTACATTATGGTGGGAAAGGTTGGGACCGCGGAATCATTTACTACCCAAAAATGAACATGCTGTTGCCATTTCCGTGTGTGTCGCTCGTTTGTACAAGCCTAGCCTCCTTTCTTTAAGCCGTGTCCAGAACTTTCCTCTCCTCCTCCCTTGCTGTCTCTCCTGCGCGTGCTCTCGTTTCTCGCTATCCCTCTCAAACTCGGCCCACCTTCTCCTGTGTGTTTCCTCTCGGAACAAAGGCTCGCTCGGCACGCCAAGCCCCCGCCACTTAAACACACACCAGAGCCGACCATCGGCGGCTGTGCAGAGCTCAGTCCACAGAGCAAGGTCGCATACCTCCGGCTATCGGGTTATTACTGTTTTTGCGTCGCCCTCCAGAAGCCGGACCAACACCAGATAATGGCCGCGGTCGGGCCGGCGCGCCTGGCTTTCCCGTCCTCATTTGCCTAGTGTCCTGCATTGTTTTATAGGCCGCGTGAAAACAGAGCCCATAATTGACCAATTGGCCGGCGCTGGGACGCTCGGGCCCGGCGAAGAATGCCTCCTCTGTCACAGCGAAGTGGCGACGCCAGACGTGACCGCGGCGGTGTTACCGTGGTGACCTGCTTTAGTTTGTGAACGCTTTAGATTGCGAACGCTTCAAAGGCCGGGATACGGCATCAAGACGGTAGTTTTGTTAATGAGGAGATTTGTGACCGGTACTGTTAATGTTCAGCAGGTAATGTGATCGTTTAAGAGCGCGCGTTCCGCTTACAAATTACCGTATATAGATGAGTTCGCTGTGGTCTAATTTGGACTCGGGCTCTTGAATGGCTGCTTTTGTTTCCTTGCCTTTGGTAATTTGTTGTGTTTGCTGTTCTTCTGTCCGTGCGTGCATAATGCTTAGCTCAGGCAATGCGATTTGCCCGAAGCCAAACAGAATAGTCCCGTAACGTCATAAAATTATGCACTGCTGAAAAATTGGTTAACCTTTGGCCCCGAAATTCAACGTTACAAGCGTATCGTTGACGCCTTGGGGGCATTCTTGGCTACTCATTATCTGCATTTATGAATACGGCACTTTGGTGGCCGATATCACCATACTATGACCCTAAACATTGACTCCGAGTAGAATAATGGCTGGACTTGATGTTTGAGAACAGCCTGGGCCAGGGCTTTTACCACAGCTGTTCGTACCCTGTCCCCTATGCATTCTCCGCTCCCGTATGACCCGCATCGCGCCGGACGCCGCGAGCATCGCCAGCCTCACACCAGACATGCACACGTCTCGTCGGGGAGCGCTGCGGTGCTGCAGGAGTGGATTCATGGCTTCGAATTCTGAGGTATAACAGCAGAGATAGTGAGGGTCATGCGCGTGTGGAAAGGCACGCTCACGCCTGATTTTAACCGGTGGAGCACCCCGCAAAACTGGTGCGGTGCGGGGTACTCCTCGTCGCCAGCTGTCATGTGTTGTCTAGTTGACTTCTTACCCACAATGCACACAGGGTCATGCACGCACATCTTACTGAACGCACTACGAGCGCAGATGTGTTCCCAACTGACTTTGCTAGCATCAGAAACTTCAGACATGCACCAGTCAGTGCATGCTATTCCATTCATAGTTGCCAGGCCTGCATCAGCCTGCACCAGCACTTTGAAGGACATGGCGACGGTCGGTCCTGCAAAATGTTGGGTATCTTGATCAGTTGTCTTGTTCCTGGGGCCTGTTTTCGGTGCTCATAGTTGCCAGGCCGGCTGGCGTCCGTGCCGCAGCAGAACCCGCGCCACTTCGTCCAAGCGCCGCTCCACGCCGCCGGCACACCCAGCCCAGTGCGCTGCCCGGCCGAGCGCCACGCAGCCGCGCGACTGCGCAATCCACGCCGCCACCGCAGCGCCATGGCGCACTTCAACTGTAAGCCGACAGCTGGCGAGCAAACGAAACGTTCGCACTGTTGTGACCGCCGGACGTCTGGCCGCAGGCTGGCGTGTGTCAGCGCGGCGGTGGCAGCTCGCTGGCACGTGGGCGCGGTCGGGCCGGTGGCGGCGGCGTCAGCTGGCCCTCTCGGCGGCAGGTCGGCCGCCCCGCCATACAGCCGTCGCGCCGGCCGGGTTGGGACGGTGGCTGCCCGGTCACAATGGCAGGAAGCGGCGCTGGCCTGCCCGCGGCGCACACATGCGCGACTGCAGTCTGTCGCCGCCTCCGCCCCCCCCCCCCCCCGCCCCACGCCCGTGCACCCTCCCTCCTCCTGGCGCTGCGCCCCAGGGGCGGCAGCAGTCGCGGCGGCGCGGTTAGTTCGCTGGCGGTCGCCGCCGTCAACACGCTATCCGGCTCTAACCGACCGGACGTGGGCGCCATCAGCAGCTGAGCACGTGCGGCCGGGCATCAAAGGGCAGCAGCCGACGGCAGTGGCGTCTCCTCTGCCGCTTGAGCGGGGAATGAGCGGGTGCAGTGATGACCGCTGCCGGCGGCAGGTCACGTGACGCGCGCGCCAGCTGCGCCAGTCTTCCTGGCCCCAGCCGGCCGGTCAGGGGGCCGCATCAGACAAATCTAGCGCCAGTGACGCGCCATAAAGCGCGTGCCGGCGCGGCTGACACCGTTTCATTCGCGGAACGCATTGAGAGCGCGCGCGCGCGCGCGAAAGCGCCGCGGTAATGACGCCCGGTCGGACTGGGCTGGCGCCGTGGGTTTCGCCTGCGGTTGCAGCTGCCGCCGCCGAGCGAGCCAGAGAGTTCGACGATGGCTTGTCTACAACGGCAGAGCAGTTTGGAGTTCCTGTGCGCCGAGTGCGTGGGACGCTCGTGTCCGCGTTGGCGCGCTCTGGTCAGACAGTTGATGGCGCCTGGTGGGTCACCTGCGATGTTGGAAGCTCTGTTCGGTGGACGTTCGTGGGCATCTCGTCTGCCTGATGGATGGTGCCGCCTTACACCCCGCATCTGCCCAAATGTTCTCCCATTGTTCGCGATGCAGTCCGGATGCGCGACCTTTGACTGATGAGACGCGCGCGCGCGCGAGCGCCCCACTTCTCGTGACTTAAGCGCGGCATTGCGTGATGCAAGGCGCTTGGTCGTCAGCACGTCTCCACTGCGTCATTTGTTAGTGGCTTATTTGCGTACGCGGGTGCGCACGCTGCTGATGGAATGCCATAGAGCAGGACCTGGGTATCAGGCTTCGTTTCCTGTCTCCAAATTCACGCCCTTCAAAATATTGTTTTGTTGTTGGTTTGGAAAGCGTTGTCATTTATTCCAGGCGGCAACGTCTGCGCAGTCTGATTATTTCAGGGAGGTTTTAATGTCGGTTGTGCAATCTATTTCTTCGGTTCCAAGCAAATTATTATTTGGGCTTTGGCAGGCACGTACGTGCCAGTATGGACGCCAATTCTGTTCGTGAAATACGAACAGCTTTTGTGGGTTACGTGCCACGAATCCTTGACCAAATAACTATTAAAACGTATGTCTCCATCTGTTTCATACTTTCATGGCATTCGCTTGCAATTATATAATTACCATAATTGGTACTTCGGGGTGCATCAGTTTGATAGAGCAAGTTATAGCTCCATACATAAAATTTGATGGCCTTAAAATCCCCTGATTCATTTTCACTTGGGATGGGAATGAATGGCTTTAGTGGCCCTTCACTGTGTAGCCCTAAGCCGCATCGTGTCTGGCGATTACACGCCTGCAGTCATGAGTTGATTTATAAATTGGAAAGACGCCAAATGCTCACCATGTACCTGCAATATGATAACGTCTTTTGTATTGTTCTGCAGTCGCGTTCTCCATAACTTCGGTCGTGAACAGTTCCTTTATTCCTAGGTCGCTTCAACATGCCGTCTCGCCTTCACTGGCTGATGCCTCTCCTGGTATACCCATGCCCCTTGTTAGAGCCCGGAGCGGGCTCACAGTCAGCTTCCAGACGCTTGCCACATCCGCTGGAGTGCCGCCCGTTTGCCGTCCAGTGCGGCTCAGCCGTGCCTGCCGCGTGACACGCGCTCGTCCGACTCCCGCCCCGGATCGCCGTCATATAACACGCTGTGTTCACGGCCGTCTTTGCCTTGTGCGCCACACCGCCCAATATTGTTCGGTGTTCTCCGCTGCTCGGTTACCCTCGGTGACTTCCCTGGCTCTCTGCTACCGCTCTGTGTCTGTCCCCCCGCTTTCCCGTTGCTGTCGCCAAGGTTGTGAGGCCATGCCTGGGCCGCTTCAGCGTCCGCCGTCCCCAGCAGCTGTGCCGCTCCTGACGCCGCTCTGCTGTCGTGTTCCAGTGTCGTCGGTCCTGCAGCGCACCGTCAGTCTGCGCCGCAAGATGCGGGGCAAGACGCGCGACGAGGGCCTCAAGACAGGCTGGCTGTACCGCGGCCAGCGGGGCGCCCTCTACGACACAGTGCCGCGGCCGCGCTCCGCCGACCTGGCGCCGGGCCGCGCCGGTCGCCGGCTGCCCGACGGCCGCACCGTGCTGCCGCTCAGCGGCCAGTGGGACAACCACGCGACGGTGCTGCCACCCGACAGCGGCGGCGGCAGGTACGCGGCCGTCAAGGTGGCTGTTGGGGACGTGCAGCGCTCCGGGCCGGTCTCCGTCAACGGCACCGTGCACTGCGCGCCGGACGCGGTCTGGATCGGCCCCCCGCAAGACGCGTGGCACGGCGGCGACAGCTATGACCGCGGACCTAGCGCCACCTATACTAATGACGGCAAAGATATCTATAATCACAATGGTGGCGCTATCTACTCGGACTCGGGCGCCACTACACAGGTGTACGTGAATGGTGTGCACGTGCTGTGCATGAACGACGGGCCGTACAACGAACGCAACATCGACGAGGAGATAGCGGCGCGCGCGCGTCGCGAGGGGGAGCCGCCGTACGCGCAGCCGCGCAAGCTGGCCGAGCGTGACGCGTGCAACAACTGGATCCCGGCCGCCGACCCCGAGCTCCGCGCGGAGACTGGCTACTGCGTCATGGTCCGCTCGCCGTGCCCGGCGTACCGGCCGCCGCCTGAGGTGACGCCACACCCGGTGGAGGTGACGTCACGAAAGATTGAGTCGACGTCACGCTTCTCCGAGGTGACGCCACACGTGAGTGTGACGTCACACCGCGCCGAGGTGACGTCGAGCTCGGCGGACGCGTCGCCGCGGTCGGCGGCCGCGGAGCCCGGCCGGCCCGAGAGCTACGCCTGCCTGCGCCGCAGCTACACCAACTTCTACACGGAGGAGGAGCTGCGTGGGCTGGACAGCTCCGACCGAGACACGATGCCTCGGCGGTCTGCCGCCGACGGCGCGCCCCCCCGGCGGCGCGCCGCCGCCACCTCCGGCCGCTGGAAGACGCGCGTCAAGGACGAGAGCTACGTGCGACGCAAGGCGCGCAGTCGCAGCGCCGAGCCGTGCGACGCCGGCAGTCCTGCCAGGTGAGCCGGCGCTGACTGCGGCTGGGTTTGGGCTGTGGGGAATGACCTTCGCCAAAACCACAAGCAGGCGAACGGAGTCGATACTTACCGGCGTAAATCGTTGTGAAGCTCAGTTGATGGCAGCTACGCCCCCAATACTTCCAGGCTTTACACGAAGCCGAATCGAGGTTAAGGAAAAAGTGGATGGGGAAAGGCAAAGTAACAATCCTCATGATTCAACTATCAGCTCATGGGCTTGTTTTGATGGTCAAGTGCTAACTTGAATGGATATTAGATAAGCAGATTTGGAGCGCGCTTCTGTTCAGCCGTGCCCACTGACCGCTGCTCACTGCAGCTGCCGTCGGCCATCTCACGGATGGCTGTCTTGCTCGCCGTCTGACATGGTGTGGGTCTGTGTTGTTGATCATTGTCCTCTCGCTGTCGGCCGCTGGTGCCCATTGACACTGAGTCGGTGGTCGGCAGGAGCAGGGTCGAGGAGCACGGACCGCTGCGGCGAACACGGAGGAGGTCCGGGTCGCTGGAGCCCTGCGAGTGCTCGGCATGCTCCGACGAGTCATTCGACTCAGGTGAGTCCGTCAGGAGTCCAGTCCGTGCCGTTAGTCAGCGGGAGGGTGCTGCGTCGCGGGACCCCGTGGCCGTGGCGCCTCATTAAATTGAAGGGACGGGGGAGCGGCGGAGTCTTTACCCTCACCGAATGGGCTAGTCATCTACCAGCGGCTCCACAATGACAGGTAAGCCAGTGTAAAGTGCATGAGGGAGTGAATGGTAAAGATGCAGGGTTGGCTGTCGCCCGGATCTGGCGACCAGACATGTTCTTAGTACATACGGCAGTGCCCGACAGTGAGCCCTCAAGAGCGATATCCAGCCCTGTACTACACAAGGCTCGAGGCTACACGGGTGCAGCGCTGCTTGAGAGACTGACAGAGGCCAATCAGGATCTGAGCTTATAATCCGACTAGGAATCAAACGAAGTTGGAATGCGTAAGGAATAACATTCATTTTGGTGTTACGACTAAAAGAAAGGGCAAAAATACCGCGTTGGCAACATGAAAGATACCCCAAAGTCCTCCATAGGATACACTCATATATACAGCGCATTTATCATTACAGCCAAAACAGCTGAACATTAAATCCAGTAGCACAGTGGCTGCATCATTTGAGTACGACAAAAATGTGCGGGGAAGAATGCACAAAAATCTTCGAAGCATCGAATTCGCTAAATGATCGCGTATCTCTGTCTTTACGCCAGACATATCAACTTCCATCCTTTTCCTTACTCACTAGATGGCAGTAAATGCTGACCTGTCTTGCCTGAAGATGCGATGATATAATTACGACGGGCCCTGGCTGGCGTTGCGTTGGAAACCGGTAGCTGTGATCTAGACGGGTGGTAGGCTGTGATTGCTGCATAAGCATAGGCTATGCGGTATGCGATCTTGATATCGCCGTTACGATGGCGGCCTCATCTCCGACGCCGCTCTCCGCACCGATGTTGTGCCGGACCTTGCTCTGAACTGGCGACAGACAATCAAGGGTGATAATTGCCGGGGTGAGAAAACGTTTTCAGTTCGAGTTGAGACACGGTTTAAGGGAGACAACGCGAAAATTGTCGTAATCGGCAGCTGCAGAATCACCGTTGCTCAAGCAAGCACACGTCTCTACTTCCACGTCCTCGTGCGTATCTCGTGCGATACCTGCCGGTCGCCAACCTCTCGTCGTCCATGCAATCGTCCCTGGCTGAATGGACGCAGCCACCCCCGACTCTCCCATCCATATTTCATTCGAGGGCTCAGCTTACCCCACTACGCGCTTGGGTTGTAATTTGTGGACATTCTGAAGGCTGTGGCCCGGCGGCGAGGCGGCGGATTCAGCCAGCACACCTGCGCCGGCCAACGCACGTCATCTGCATAGAGGGCGAGGGTCGAGCAGGGGCGGTGCCAGGTAAATTACGCGCGAAACAGAGGCGGTGCCAGGTGAGATGTGCGGGGGAGCAGGGAGGCGGGGTGCCCGGTGACCGAATCAGTCTAACGCTGCTGAAGGGCGGCGTCAGGCGGGGTCAGGTCATACAAAAATAGCCCAGGCAGAGGCGTCGTCAGACGGGCGCTGTGGGGGGAGGGGGGGGGGGTCGTTATCACAGCAGAGTGGTGGGAGTAGAAGCGTCATCAGACGGGTGCTCTAGTGGAGTGTCGTTATCGCAGGAGAGCAGGGCAAGTGGTGGGAGCAGAGGAGTCGTCAGACGGGCGCTGTAGTGGAGTGTCGTTATCGCAGGAGAGCAGGGCAGGTGGCGGGAGCAGAGGCGTCGTTAGACGAGCGCTGTGGGGGAGTGTCATTATCGCAGGAGAGCAGGGCAGGTGGTGGGAACAGAGGCGTCGTCAGACGGGCGCTGTAGTGGAGTTTCGTTATCGCAGGAGAGCAGGGCAAGTGGTGGGAGCAGAGGAGTCGTCAGACGGGCGCTGTAGTGGAGTGTTGTTATCGCAGGAGAGCAGGGCAGGTGGCGGGAGCAGAGGCGTCGTTAGGCGGGCGCTGTAGGGGAGTGTCATTATCGCAGGAGAGCAGGGCAGGTGGTGGGACAGCCGTGCTGCCGGAGCCGGCACGGTCAGGGGCTCGCCGAGGTCTGCCATTCGGCTGCCCGCAGCTGGCTGGTCACTTGTGTCAGTCTTTTCAGTCAATACGAAGCCGCACGCCATGGTGTGCCAGCCGAGGGGGACTGCTCTGGACGGGAGTGAACAGCGGCGGACTGCGGTGGACAGCGGTGGACAGGGGTGGACAGGGGTGGGTAACGATGGAAAGGAGTGGTCAGGGGTGTACCAGGGTGAAGGGGGGGGGGGCAGGGGTGGACAGGGGCGGCGTCTCCCAATAACAGACATACGACGGAGGGGCTCAATCTGTGGGCATCTTCCATTGCGCTGCGCACCTGACTTCCTTTCCTGAGGACCGGCGTGAGTCAGAGCAGGGCCGGTGCGTGTCGCGCTTACGTGCCTTCGTAAATGATCTCAGGACGGCGGGCTTATTTTAACGGCTGCTGACGTGCCCTCCGGCGCGTGTTTCCTTTGTAGACCCCTGCACTCAGGACTAGTTTGGAGTGGTTTATATCCGCTGGGCAGGGCTGGGGAACAGAGGGAGCGGCTCAGGGAGCGGAGGGCACGGAGGAGGGGGGGGGGAGGGGGGGAGGACGAAGGGGAGGGTTCTAACCCACCGGAGCGACCAGTGCGCCTTCAGCAAACTCACGGCCCTGTTTTCCATTGTTAAACAACGTCCACACGCTTCACTGTGTGCTGCCGCATGTGAGTGCGTCACAACAGCTGCTACGCCTTGCAGTACAGGCATCTGTGCGTAACCAGTCACTATAACGCCATACGAGAAGCAGGAAGCAGCAACCTCCAGTGAGTATTGTGTCAGTGAGGAGCCGGGCATTGTTGCTTTACATGGCAGCGGCCCGGCGTCCGACCACGGCCCCGCAGTGCCGTACTGCCTTCCGCCCGACCCTCCCCCGTTCCCCACCTCATGCCTGACTACTTATCTCGTGCCTGGCGAGCAGGCGAGCGTCCGCACCTTGTCTCTGGCGTCTTGCTCGCCAGGTATGCGGCGGCGTCGCATCGCAGGGTGCCGCAGCGCGCCCGAGAGCACCGGCGGTGCACGAGCGGCTCCCCGTGCAGTCCTACACGAGACGACACCAGCCCCCCACCCCCCACCCCCACCCCGGCGGCCGCGCATTCCAGGCGGCCGGTCGAGGGCTTCCGTTTCATGCTGCGTGGGCCAGAGGAATGTGGAGCAGGAGTCGCCTGCCCTGCCAGGCAGCGGGAGGGCTGGGCAGACCTACAATAGTGAGCACATGAGGGGCGGAGCACGCAGCGGCAACGGCAGGGGACGGTGCTGCTTATTTGGAGATGGCCAGATGTCCTGTGTTAATGATGGCTGAAGGTGATGCAATCATCGCCTTATGTTTTTAGCAAGTATGGAGTCCTGACTCATGGTGAAGAAACGCCATTTGCACGGAGTTTTTCATCCTTAATGCGACCAGACCACGTGTTTGAGAGTTCTCTATGAATGAAGCTTGCCACACATGCAAAGGCTGGACTAAAGGATCTCTATTGTCCACACACTCTACTACTCATCTCAGCGTGTCACACACCGCTATTGTACTGTTCGACATTTCATGCAAACAGCACGGAGGTGAGTGGGTCTTCGAGGCTTAAGGCCAGCGTTGGCTGAGGATACGGAACCTCAAAGACGCTATTTGTGTAACCCATACCAGCCATTCGAAACCCCGGATTTAGAACCGCTCTGCATTTCCCATTAACGACGTTAATGGAAGCACGCTTCAATCGAACTCCCAAAAACTTCACCTCCTTACGATGTTCAACAGCTGTAGGAGCGGTCGACAGCTGTGCTGGAAATCCGCGGAGCTCATTATACGTCCTCGTATTCGCGCGGTCCCTGGTGGTCTGGCCGGCGGCAGAGCTGGCGGACTGCGGCGACCGCAAAGTGGCGCGCTCTCTCTCACGCGCTCCGCGCCGCCTGTGAGTGCCGTCCGTCTTCCGAGGCCGCGGGCCTGCCTCGTCGGCCAGTGCCTACCGATGAGTGGTGCGCGCCGCCGAGGGCGCTGCTCCTCCCTCACTCCCTTCCCCCTCCCCTTCCCCTCACGCTCACCCCCGCTCCGCCGCCGCCAGCCGGCGCTTTGTGCCGACGGAGCTTTGATAATGGTTTTGAGTTGTTTGTCGAGGCGTTTAACTGCTGAGGCCATTAGAGTCGCGGTGCCTTGCGCCGGTCTTCGCTCTGATTCTTTTGCAATATTGTGGCAGCGTTCGGGATTCGAACGCAGGTCTCTCAGTCGGTTTAGTTGCTCAGCCGACCACCACTCCCGCACCCTCCCACGGCGGCGGGGGGGGGGGGGGGGGGGGGGGGGGGTGAGGGTGGGAAGGTCGTTACGACTGCTCGCGTCGCCTCCTGGCTGCCCGGCGTCCGGCCTTGTGACGGCCGGCTCTGTCACACTTTGTCACAGGCTTGTGTCACACTGGCACGTTTCACGGCGGCGGGCGGGAACGGTTACCAGCTAACTAACCACGTTACACGAACGATGCGCCTCACTAAGCTCTCACAACGCTCAAAGTGGCCAGATTTTTAGCATTCTTACTGCTTTTGGGGGAAAGTTCCCCTTGGGGACGGTATTCTGATGCGGCATAAACGCCATGTCGACGCTCCCCTGTCTGTGGGGTATTCCTCCAGCACTCCTGCAGCACTCCTGCAGCACTCCTGCAGCACTAGTCGCTCGCGGCTAGGCACCATCGTTACTGCCGGTCTGCCTCATAATCCCCACAGCTGCCGCAGTCTGGAGAAATGCCAGGCTCGTTCGTGGCCATGAGAAAGGTCCCACCCACCCACGGAAGGTAATGTCCCGGTAGCTTTGTCACACCACCTTTTCTCAGCGTCCTCCAGCGGTATCCGTGGCGGGCACCTGAGAGGCACTTCAGTGTTGAAAAGGCACTGTATTCACGTTAGCTCGTGCAGTAATGGCGGTGTGCGATGTAATCACCAGCGAGGTGAGCTGCACAGCCTCGAGGTGATGCAATTAGAATTAAGAGCGCGTTCCGAACAACAGGTGTTTTCCGCCTGCGAGTAATTCGGGCTGCAGGAGTTGCGCCGTCAAGGACGCGGCGGTTCCGCCCTGCGAAAAGGCACGCGGCTGCAGCGAGAAATCGGAACCGGGCAGCTGGACCCCAGCGAACTTCAAGGACATCACTCGTCCGGTGAAAAAATTTGAATTAACACCTGGCTTGAATCGATGCGCGCTTCTGACCGCCAGGTGCCGCGGCGGCGGCTGCCGCTCGGAGATTCCGGATGTTATCTCCCGAAGGCTTCCACTCGTAATTATCCACTGATGTTTGGGCTCGTTTTTCCGTGCCCGGCTCGACAGATCAGTTGACTTTGAAGAGCGTGAATGCTGCAAGAATGTGTCGGCACTTGTAAACAGCGTCGTTTGCTTATTGATAGGAATCGACGTCCCCAGAGCCAAGCATGGAGCACGAGCGTGTGTGGCTAACATATGATATGATGACCTTAATATACAATTCAATATGATATGATGCCATATTATACAATACAATGCGATGTTTTGAAGCGCGAGCCGAAGACGTGGGATGGTCTGCCTCCGTTCTAAGACAAGAGCTGCGACTGGAGAAACCACATAGGAGGTCCTCTGGTGTGCGTTGATGTCAAGTCGATGCACTCGAATATGCCAAATAACATGATGCGTGATCACTTGACGCATGCATGTTTTGGAATATTGATTTACCACTTATAATGCACAGCGATAGTTTTTCTGTGGATAAATGAAATATGCTACAAAGGGTATCGAAGCTGGCCGAAGCTGGCTGGCAGCTGGCTGGCTGGCAGGTCGGGTATCAAATCTGGCCGTGATGATGTCCCGTTCGAATAGAAAGGCTCCGAATGAAAATCCGTTAGCGTGATTTGCATTGAGCTCCGCGTTTTTTTAATCGCTGCGAAACCTTAAGCAACACAAAAATGCTTCGAAAACTTGGGCATTCAACGATGATTGGAGTGGCGTCTTGTCTTCACTTACTTTTGCTTTTAAACCGCCCTGGGATGCATTCAAGCTCCCTGATAATGGGATATGGAACCTTACGTGAATACATGCAAAATAGCGGTGGCAAGCCAAAGTGACCTGCATCAGACCTGTTGGCGTATTATCACACCAAATTGAGTGTTTTCACACCAAATATCGACACCAACGGCAACACAATAGCACCACGTCACTTCTGCCGGCATGACCTGTATGGAATTACTCCTTCGACGCCGCGTCTCACCCTCCTGTACTACGAAACCGACACCGCCTCTGCTCTCCCCCCCCCCCTCACCCTCCAGGGGCAGGCACTATGAGTACCGAGCCTCTGTCCCCCTAAATGCTCTCGTCTGATACCGCCTGTTCGTCCCTCAACTGTCCCACCTGTCAACGCCTTTGCTTCCCCAATACTGGGTGCTGACGCCGCCTCTGCCCCTCCCGCAACACCCGGCGTCGACTCAGTTCCCTAATTTCGTCACCCAACACCACTGCCTCCCCTGGTGATCTCGCTGACTCCTCCTCTGCCGTCCCACACGCCCACCTGGCGTCGCCTCTACCGTCCGTAGCGCGCCGTCCGTCGGAATCCGGCGCCGCCTCATCGGTGCACCGCCAGCGGCGACACCCCACCAATCACGACGGCTCGCGCGCGCGCGCCGCTGCTGCCACCTGGAGCGGCCGGTGCGCAACTGCCGCGCGCACCGGCCGCCAGTGCTAGCGCCCGGCCGCCGGCAGCGCGTTGGGGTCGTCGCGTTCGTGCCGTGTCAATGTGCCAAATCGCCGCCGCCCGCCCGACGTCGTGATGCGAGCGGCGGCCGCGCGCCCTCGCGGTCCGTGGCGCGTCTGAGCGAGCTGTGTCCGCGAACATGGCCACACTCGGCCTCTCCAAGGTGTTCATCCTGGATAAGTACTTCACCGAGCTACAGAAGTTCTGGGACACGGAGCGCAAGCTGCAAGGTGGGTGCCCGATCGGCCCGCCCCCCCCCCCCGTGAGCCGCACGCGCGGCGCTGCCGGCCGCCGGCGCCGCGCGCCCGGTTAGCCTTGGCTTGTTCCGGTGTCGACGGCAGCCTCTGAGCGGGCTGGCGTCCAGGCGAGCGGCCGAGCTCCCGCCTCCGGCGCCGGCCGCCGGGATGACGGACTGGCGGGCCCGCGGGGACCCGCGGATCGCCGTCGCTGCTGGACGGAAGCGTGACGGGATGTTGCCGGCCGGCGGTGCTGCGCCGCGCCCGCGGACAGCTGCCGACAAATACGGGAGTACTGCGCAGCGCGCGGCCGGGTCAGGCGGCGGAGGTGGCAGAACGGGAGAGCGGGCGGTGGCAGACCGCGGGCAGAGGGCCGTCAGACAGATGTCAGACACGGGTGGAGCCTGGGTGATGAAGGTGATGCTGACGGGGTCAGGTTGCGGAGAAGCGGAGATGTAGCTGGGTCTGTGGGCCAATGATAATGGGCGCCATGGTTGTGCTGATTCACGATTGCATGATATCCTCCTTTCTGCTTA